GATCGCCAGTTTCCCGTGCTTCTTCACCGTGGATCGGGCGAGGGTGACTGGGGAGCCATATTTGCAACTTTGTAGTCCTCATGAACGCGCCCTTTCTCTCGCCCTTCCATTCTCTCCCCTTTCCCCAGATGTTGCGAAGCCCAGTAATAGTTTTTTGGGAAGAAGGGGGAGTTTACGTTCAATAGGTTTTAAGCCCCTTCCCGATATCTAGCTAAAAGAAGTAGGGCTGATGGGGGAAGCAGCCCCTGATGGATCCATCATCCGCACGCAAACACATACACGAAAAGGCGGGCAAGAGGGTGGTGAGTGTTTCTCCCCCCCCCTACCCAGCTCGGGCTGGACTTGAAAATGTGCGGCTTTTGCCTCTAAAATAAGACGAAACTTTGTTCAAGGAAGAAGGGCTTGATTTACTATTTTGAGTCTCAGAGCCTCGCCTGCTTGATTTCCGGGGGGGGGGTCACGGATTTCCCTTGCCCATTTGCGCAGCATAAAACACTTCATCTTATCTATGGGCGCGCGGGGGCGAGAGAACTTGGCTCTCTGCATCCCTTCAGCCCAAGGAGAAATTAAGGTTGCCCAGGTTGGGGTGGCCAATTTTGAGGGTTCATTGATCTGAGCGGTTTATGCGTAAAGGCGATGGCTCTGGAACTCGAGAGTATTATGTCCTCCTCTAAACATTTTTTTCAAGAAGTAGTCTATTCCTAGGGAAGGGAGCTGCACCTCTCGTCCCCACCTTTTTCTAAAGATGTTTTCCTATCCCGGGGGGGGCACTTACATAAGCCTTTAAATCACAACGCATTTGGGTTTTGCTATGGGCGGTTGGGGGCGAACTGTCAGCTAGTGGGTTTTTTTTCCTTGCATTTTCCCCCTTCTCCAAAAGCAGCGATAGCCGAAGCCGCCCCCTCTCTTAGGAAGGCACGCGGGACGCTTCTGGCTCCGTGATCAGAAGGAGAATCTGAAATGTGGGTTTATGCAACGTAACTTTTTGAACTTAAAGAAGTATCGGTGGGGGGGGGGGGTTTGCTTTTCTTACATCCTAAGGCGCAGTCCTGCCGTTTTCCTCCTCCTCCCCCTCCTTGTTGACAGAAGGCCGTGTGAGTCGAGACGCGTTTGTGGCCGTGCGTGCGCGCGTGCGCGCGTTTGTGGGGACTCAGCCGGCTGCTTGTGGGTCAGGAGCTCAGTTGGCGAACGCACTTGTCTTACGCGTTGCGTCGCCGCCGGCCCGGAAAAAAAGCCTTCCTAAATTGGGTGTCGTCGCGGCAACAACACGCTGGCTCATTCCGAAGTAGGACACGACGCCATCTTTCCCCCCGTCGAACTGCAAAGGAGAGAAAGGCTGGGTAGGAAAGCGGAGCCTCCGAATCGATTCCTTTCTGGAAGGGGGGGCGCGCGAGGGCGACGCAGCCTGCGCGGCCGCCTCAGGGGAGCGGGGTAACGTTTGCGTTTGGCCTGCAGTGAGTGGGGAAGGCGGCGGAGCCCTCGGTCTGTGGCGGGTTTGGTGTCGCCTTGCCAGGCCCCCTATCGCAGAGATGTCGGTCCGCGCTGCATAATTCATGGACAGGTTGCCTTCCCCTCTCCTTCGTGTGTGTGTGTGTGTGGGGGGGGAGGAAACGGAGCGCTGGGGAGGCAGGGAACGAACCTCCCCTTGCCCCCCCCCCCGGCCCCCGTGCGCTTGGTCTCCTATTACGCGAGCGGAGAGAAGGGAGGAGGGACTGTTAGCTCGGGAGGGGGAGACGGCGGCGGCGGCGGCGGTGAGGCGGGCTCGGAGCGAAAGGGGAACCCTCCCTCCCTCCTTCCCTCCCTCATGCGTGCGAGTCGAACATGACTGCCAGTTTCTAGGGGCTGCCATTTTGTCACTAGTGTCACTGACTGGGAGGGAGGAGAGAAGGAACACCGTTGAAAGCTGCCCAACACCTAGAAAATGCAGTGAGCAGAAGGCTTTAAAAAGTAGCCACCGAAGGGAAGAGAGGCTTTGCTGGGGGGGGGGGGAACCCAACTGGTGGCCCCTGTCTGCTTGTTCAAGAATGGGGCTTCGTGGAGCCAGAGGCAGTCACTTCTGACAGACCTCAGGAGGTGATTGCTTCACATTTAGGACAACGTCTGGTTCGCTGTAGGAAAGGTGGGATGTGAGGAAGCACGGAGGTCTGTTAGTGAGGCGGTTTATTGTTCCTGCCTTATAGATCATATCATTATAGATGATAGTCTTACCAGCAAAACCTTCACAGAAGAATTGAAAGCATCTTGCCTAGTGAAGTGGGAATCCTCTGTCCCTCTGGTGCAAACACTTGGTTACTTCTGTGCAGGAGGGTTACTAGCACCAGACTATTCACTCAACCATCATCTTCCCTTTTTATACAGTAGTAACAACCAAAATTGTGGTTTTTCTCTTACGAGTTACTATTAAAAAGAGTTGCTAAATGTTTCTTTAGCATTGAACATTGTTTGCCATGTACAACTTTTGCCAGACTTACAAAAGCTATCAAAAGGATTTATCATATATTGTCATTAGTACCAATGTCTTCAACAATAGTTTAGGGCTCTCTAGGTTATGGTTTCACACCATTTCATCAAGACGATTTCTTGTTATTATGTAATGTCATGAAACCCTACAAAAATCTTTATTAGTGGTGTAATTAGGAGAGAAGGTGTTTTAAGACTTGGGGAAGACAATTACTGTATCTTTTTCAAGAAGGAAAGAATAATCCAAGACAAAATGAAAATAAGTGAATCATGGCTGAAATCCACTAATAATTCACAAATACAGGTATTTGTATACCAGATCACCAGATTTGTTCACCAGATCCCCACAGATTCGGCATACTTACTCTAATTGTGACTTACTATTGGATTTCAGCCCATTTGATTTATCAGCATGCATTCAGTGTATTAAAAATGTGGCACTTAATAGGAAGAAACATTTTATAGTATTCCAAACTACCTTTTTACCATGTTTGAATTCTTAGTAAAGGTTCAAATATAATTCATGAAGTAGTTGTCTTTTAAATGTGGAAATAAGTTACACATATACTGTATTTTTCTATGTCTAAAACGCCACTTTTCCCTAAAATAAGTAGAGGAAAAATTGACGTTTGTTTTATACAGGGTAGTAAGAAGGGGGAGGGGTCAAAGTGCTTTGATCCCTGCCTTCTCTCTCCACGTTTTGCAAAGAAAGTGGAGGGGGAAAGCACATATCCCTCCACTTTCTTTGCAAAAAGCTACTTTCCCTCTCCACTTTTTGCAAGGGGAAAAGCAGCTTTTTGCAAAGAAAGTGGAAGGGGAAAGCACTTTCTTCCCAAGAAAGCACTTTGATCCCTGCCTTCCTCTCCATTTTCTTGGAAAGAAAGAAATTTTGGGTTAGAAAAGGGTGGTGTCTTATACACAGAAAAATGTGGTATGTGAAAGGCTAGAGAGAAATCTTGTAATAAATCTTGCATTTGAGAACAAAGCAGTTTTTAAAGACAAGAATTGAAATACAGTAATGCATCCCAATTCTGTTGAATGTCAAATATCATGTAATGAGTGGGGGTGATGCAGGAAAGTCTGGACAGTCCTCTTGCTTAAGGTTATGTGCCCAAAAGTTACCTGGTGTTTGTTAGCTAGCATGATGCATTCTAATGAATTTAACATGCGCCACATAAATATTTAAATTAGCAGGATTTCCTAGTTTTTTGGGGGCAGATGCCAGTGTTCCTTGGATCATCATGATTACCAGTTGGTTTTATATGCATTGCAGCCTTTGCCCACTTATATGGGAGTAATCCCTGCTGAGGTTAATCAGACTTATTTGTGAGTGAATATGTATTGCACTATCATTCTTATAAATCCTGTTTATTTAAAGCAGACATTAGTTAACAGGTGTAATGGTACAGCTGAACGATGGATAAATTTAGGTTGGCTTGATAACATTATTTAGCTCTTTACTTCAGGACACCCAAAATCAGGCCTGTACCAATTTTATATATTTCTTTGTAAGCACATGCAGTATAAGCTTTATAGGCTTCATTCAATTTGGTGGACTTTTTCACCACCTGAAATAAATGTCCTAAAATCAGAGATCAATAGTATACTAATAAAAGAATTTGAGTAAATGTTTAAACATAGAAATATATCAGTCACTTTAAGATACCAAATAAGGGGAAGCTTTTGGCTCCCCAGATGTTTTAATCTTCAGCTGCCAGAAGCCCCACTGATATGGACAATAGTAGGGGACGATGAGAGTTGTTAGCTAAAATATCTCGAGGGGGCCATGTTTCCTGCTCCACATATTATGGAGCAGACTGAAAACATTCTGCTGAAGACCCTTCTGAACCATCAGGAAGTACTACAGTGCTGGGACATGATGGATCCCACTTGTAGGATTGTTCCCAAGGTGAATGCCTTCAAGAAAGGTGCTGCTCTGGTAACCACTCATTTTGCCATGTGTCACTGAAGAATCTGGTTTAGGCTCTAATGTTAATTAGATTGCACAGGCAGGGAAACCTTTGGGGTATCTGATTAC